CCCCAAAACCCCAAAACCCCCGAATTATATATATTTGACTAGGGAATGAAAAAGGAAATTAAAATGTTTAATCTGGCAAATTTTACTGATATTTTTAATTATAAATTTAACCAAGTATAAATTAAAAATGATTGTTCAGCCCTTCGGTGCCACAAGCTCATTACCAGATCTTGCAGGATCAACTTTGGTTATTCCATGTCAAAGTGCTGGATTAAGTTCTAATATAGGTGTTGATTTGTATGTTATTAATGAAGGACTTCAAAAAATCGGATATTACAAGAGTTAATATATTGCTGCTGGATTATCCAATGATGGATTGAGCACAGGCTTAAATGAGGGTAATCTTACACTTCCAGCAGAGGTTTACTTTAATGCTTCGACAAAAGTCACAGCTCTTATAATCAGATCAGGGATATACAGTGGAAAGGGAAGATTATTCGAGAAAGAATTGACTGAATTCATTAAGAAATCAGGATTTTCAAGGATAGTTGTATTGACATCAACATTAAGCCCTGTCAACAGGGAGAGAGACTCAAATAGACAGTAATAATCATCATAATACTCATAATTCATAATACTAACCATTACTTTAGGATTCCTGAATTGTTTGGATATGTAAATAAGCACGTCCTTGCAACTTAACCAAAATACTTTGCTGATCATGGCCTTAAATAATTTGGCTTCTGGTTAGGTGACTCAAAATAGAAAGAGTTTTAAGAACTAGATGAGCTTATGATGTCAGGTTCTGCTAAGACTCTCATGAAGCTCTTTAACAAGTTATCTATTCCAGCACATCTCTTCGTTATGTTCACTTCAGGTGGTATTGATTTCGTTGGAGGATATGTCTACTTTTAATTCTTGAGAAATAACCTGTTTGAGGATCAGTCAAGTTTAGTTCAACATCAGCTTGGAAAACTTAACCTAGACCAGTTGACTGGAGAAGGAATCCATGAGAAGCTCTTTGTTAATAATGATACCAAGATTCCTGCTTACTGGAGATAAATAGTCTCTTACTTCTGAGTTAACCAAATATCTATCGCTCTAATATATGTTCAATTAACCAAGTTTTATAAAGAAATGTGCTATTTTCAAATTTAATCAATTTTTTCTGAAGTTCTTTATAATTTGGTTAAGGGGTTTTGGGGTTTTGGGGTTTTGGGGTTTTGGGG